ATTCGATCATTTTTGACGAAGTTACACTCTCTTGAATTTTGCCTATTTTTGGAGGCTAGAACAGGTGATCCTTTAATTTTTTGGACCAGTGTATATAGCATAGGCAGTGCAGGCCAAAAATGTAGAAACACTTTTAACAATGGTCATTTTTCAGATTATTCAAATACAATCTATAACAACATATATTTTTTAACAATAATTTTTCAGATTCAATAATTATTTCGAAACACCAAAATCACAATTTATATTTGTTTTTGCTTTACATTGTTGTGAGTTATATAGTTTATCTGCATTGGTATTTCCAATTTTATGATTTGCATATGATATTGTATAAAATACAGGGGTTAATAAATCTTATCGGATTTATATAGTTTATCTGCATCTATTTCCAAATTGGCTTGCAGTGCATATGTTATTGTATAGAATACAGGGGTTAGTACTCTTCTCGAATTCTACCGTGCACAAAAACTTCATAATGCTATTTAATAAAACGTCACACATTGATAAAGTGTACGTGTGGCAACATTATGTACATTAATTTGCATTGCGGAAAACAACAATAACGAGTGCTGCAACTGAGGAAAATTCCGTTGTCCTAAACGAACGTACATTCAAATGTGATACATTATCAGAAGCATGCTGGTAAATATATCTGACCATTGCAACCTTTCATAGCCGCAAGGAATTACGGGTCAAAACTAATTCGAAATGTGTAGAATTAGAACTTTTGCCGGATCCTTATTATTTTGCTAACAAACAGAAAGAATGTATGTCTATGAGATGAATAAGTTTGTTTCTAGCAGTATAAAACCGTTTTCCCTGCAATGAATTGCCTCTCTTTCCTTTAAGCTATTCTTTATGCTACGCGTCTTTGCGAAAAATCGTTTCAATATTCGAATTTTCAATACCCTTTCGTCCCCCTCGGGCCAATTTATATTCTTTATATCTTTACATATAAAGATCATTTGATAACAACATTGTGTATCATTAACTGCATTGCGTAAAACAGCAATGACGAGCTCCGAAAAAACACATTGACCCAAACAAACGTACATTCAAGTGCGATTATATTATCATAGTTTTTGGTAGCTATCTACTCTATTGCAACACATCGACATTGAAAAGCCTGGTTTTATGATTCGGTTGAATGCGTTCTGCTTCGGTCCGAGTATTATAAAATTTCTTGAACAGGAATTTTTTTCTGCCGTGTTACGCACTTTGTATTCCTCTACCCAGTTTCGGTATCTCTCGCATCAATTTTATAATCTAATTATTATTCTTTTATACATCAGCTTTTTATACATGTAAAAGATTGAAAGTTTGGGAATAGTGTGGCCACATTTATCCCGTGCGCATGAGGGCCACACAAAGGAAGAAGATCGATACTAAAAGAATTGAGAGTCTTTAACGAGTTGTATTTTTGATTTTTGATCTGTCATCTCATAACGACTGATATTTATTACTTACGTCTTATGTTCATTAAGATTTTCAACTCTCATATAAAAAATATAAAACTATCGAATGGCATAGTTAATTTTTCTATACGTTCGTAGGCAATTTTTGTCAACTACTTTCTTGTGACGTATATACGCTGTTTCAGAGACAATGCCATATCCTAAGATTTGTAAATTGAGCCGTTCGAGTGCAACGGTTGATGGTGGCGTGAAAATGATTTTGCTATGTAAAAAAATAGAAAAAGAAGATATACAAATAAGATTTTTTGAGGAGAGAAATGGACAACTATTCTGGGAAGGATACGGCGATTTTGAACCGACGGATGTACATGAACAAGTAAGTGAACAAAGATAGTTGTGTAAGCTGTTAATCACATGACTAAGTTTAAGCAAAAAGAAGCAGCTTTGCCACTCTTGTAAGATTCTTTAATTTGAATGGTATGTATTTAGATCTGCGAGGAACTAAAAACAAGAACCAATCATATTCAAAATCTTATAACGTTACAGTTTCAAAACTGCTTTTTTTGCTAAATGCAGCCGCTGTAATAGTTGCAATGCAATAGTCAAGAATAGGATTTGTTTGTCATTGTATTATCTGCATCGATACTGTTCTTTGTAGACTGCAATAGCGTTCACAACGCCTCGATATTATACACAAGAAGTGGTAGAGCCGGTGCAGGTGTATATTCAACTTAGAAGGCCATCGGACAGTGCTATGAGCGAACCTCTACCGTTTTCATTGTTACCAAATATGGTTATTTCATGGACCGAAGGGCCATTAGTCGCACAACAGGAAAGTAACTTATCTCGTAATGAATTTAACAGTAACGAAAACGCGAAAAGATCGAACTTTATGATTTCTGTAATAAGATTTTTTGCGTGCTGTAAACGATTTGTGTTGAGATATATACGTATCAATTTGATACGTTCGATGCTCGTTTTTTTCCCAAATAGCAGACTGATGTCGAAAGGCGACATAGAGACGTCTATATATGGTCATTTTTTGGTATATGACGTCGACGACTAATAATGGATGTGTATATGACGTCATTTTTTTAGACCAGTTATAGACGCCATCTTGAAGACGTCTTGAAGTCGTCCAAA